TATTGCACATTCTTTTTCATTAAACAAAAACAAACTTCCAATGCACTCTAGCACTCTACTAGATGGCTTTAACTTCTTAATTTTTGCTATAAGGCATATGCACTTTCTGGAAATGGAGACAGAGAGAAAAAGAAAGCGAGAAGGGAAGTGAGAAAGTACACCCGGGGGCGGGGGAATGGCCATATTGTAATCCATTTTCTCCATTCTTCTCTTCAGATTTTGGGCATGTGTGTAAACGGACCTAGCATGTTTTTCAAGCCTCCGGGTCTGGGATTCCAACTGCAGGGTTACCCATGTGGGATCCAGCTGCCTTAACCTTCGCACCATCTGTTGGCCCCTGTTGCATTTAACTTCTTAAGAAAGTTTATTTCTTCCATGAATAAGAAGAAGAGAGAAAGAGAGATGGCACCCTTTTCCCCACTATGAAATCTTCATGCTGTTCTCCACAGCCAGGCTCAGCCAGCCCAGGATCACAGGCAGGTGAAATCTCTGGATCCGAACCCATGACCTCTACACGTGGGTACGTCTTACCGAACATTGGGGTTTACTGCTGCACCACTGTCCAACACCACTTTTCAATGTTTAAATAGATAAAATAGAGCAGTTATTTGTTTTCTAAAGCTTACATTCTAATAATAAAGCTTTAGAAATAGAATAATACACACCATAATAATTTGCTACAACCAAATGACAGTCAGATGACAGAAATCTTAAAAGACGTACACCATAAAATAATATTTTCTAAACTTTGTACTAAGAATATAAATCAAACCCTAATTTAGTCTATATTTCCACAGTGACTTTGTAAGGTATATGAATCAAGAGGTAAGGAAAAGTAAGGTCTGTGTAGTATACATATTGCCAAAGTTACTTGTTCTTTCAAGCTTACTCTGGTATTCTTAGTAAGAAAGGAATGTGGATTCTTTCTTTTCAGGCCATAAATTTTGCTAGCCTTATTAAGAAGAAACTTCTACGAAGAGCCAGAGTAGGAAGGCATGACGTTCACTCACTGAAAACTTAGTCCACAGCCTTGCAGACTCTTCATCAAAGTTTAAGCTACTAGCTAGTCTTCTTTACAGAGGTCAAGAAATACTTCCTTTGCCTTTTCAGTTTTAGACTTCAAAAATAGTGAATTTAGGGAACCAGCAGTTAGCGTAATGGCTATGTCGCTGGATTCCCACATAGTCAACCGTGGTTCGTGTCCCGGACCTGGTGGCTTAAAACTCACGCCGGGCGCGTGTGCGTGCGTGCCCAAGATCCCGAGAGGAGAATGGAAGAGAAGGGATTGCGGCGTGACCATCCCCCCTGGGGGGTGATTTCTCGCTTTCTGTCTCTATGTCTCTCTCTGTCTGTCTGGTGAGCGCACGCGCCCTACAGTGAAAATCTCTCCAAAAAAAAATAGTGAATTTAGAAAACTAAATTAAACCCTGGAAGCAACAACCATTTCACCCTTGCTATAATGATTGTTTTTTGTTTGTTTGTTTGATTTTCTATCACAATCAAATTAGCGTTCAGCTGTCATTGCACTCCCTGGGAGTCAGGAAATCCTGACCTTACTTTCTTCAGAACCCTTACTTCTCCTGCACATTTTCTTCCTTTTACCAAGTTCCTTTCTATAAAAGATAGCTTCAAAAAGAGGAAACCTTACAGTATGCACTGTAAAATTGTACCATGATTTTTACAAATTAAGGATGCAAACAGCGTTCAGATAGTGTGGTCTCCAGAAAACATTAAATTATCATTTGAACCTCCTGTTCATCAACCTCTTGAATGTGCATTAATATCCAGCATCCAAACAGGAAAATAGAAAACTAGAGAAAACATTTCACAAAACAGAGGTCAGAGAACATCAATAGGATGTTTAAGATATTTAGTTTAGGGGTAAATAATAATAATTCTCACTATTATAAACTTATTTTAGTTAACATATTACACATTGTAGTTAGGTATAATAGACAGCATTTGTATTAGAGCATTATTACAAGTAGCCCTATTTCAAATATATTATTTCAAAGAAATTCTATCTTTAATACATAATGTAGCATAACATATACTTATCTACTTGCATATGTAGTCTATATAAGCTTTGTATAAAGCTCTGTAGAAACACAACCCACCAATATTTTTAATCTGTACAACAAAATGAAGCCCTGACTTCTTACTTTTTCTTTTTAAGGTCATTGCCTTAGTGCACATCCACTCATCAGGGAGATACAGAGACAGTGAGAGGGAAAGTGAGAAATCCTCCCCTGGGGAGGATAGCCATGCCACAATCCCTTTACTTCCATTGTCCTCTTAGGGTCCTGGGAACACACACACATGCCTGATGTGATTTTTTTAAGCCACCGTGTCCAGGACTTGAATCACAGTCAGTCATGTAGGAGTCCAACACCTTAACCACAATGCCACCTGCTGACCCTGAAAACCCTGACTTTTGAATTAGAACATCTGAATCCAACCCAAAATCCATGGTTTTGTCTCTTGTTAGAAAAATCACATAAACTAGAGAAAGTCACTCAACCTCTTCAAGTTCTAGTCTTTATTTGGAAAAATGGAGACAAATAGGCTAGTTCCATCATTCATTCTGAGATAGTGACAATGACAGCATTTTGGACAAATGTGCAGGAATAGTAGTAAAACGTGTTTCCTTGGCTCAGTAAATGCTAATGCTGTACTAACTCCGACCATCAGATTGACTCTGATGCCTCCTGTCTCTCCTTTGGGAAGTAATTATCAACCTCAGTTTTGTTACATACTGGAATAGGATATGAGCATTGTAACAGGGCACTGATGTTTTTTAAATGAATCACAACACCCCCATTAATTCTTATTTTTAATTTGTTTTTTTTCACAGTTTCTTTCATGTGGGAGAGAGAGAAAGAGGGAGAGAGAAAGACAAGCACCCTCAACAGGGTCTCATGCTGTGATCTCCGCTCTGCACCTTCTTGCCAACCAGGATCTCAGGTACATGCAGGCGCACCTTACATGTACAGGCCAACCCAGGAACAGAACCCTTGTCTTCCCATGGCTTCCATCCTGCAGGTCACTGCTCTATTGAGTGGAGCTGTAACTCACCTTTAATAGCAGCAAATAATCACAAACAACATTTTAATAGTTAAATGGACGAATTATGTAATAAACATTGGGAGAAAGTTTGAAAATACACCCTGCTGAAAGTAAAATTATTGATCAATTAATAGTAAGCCAGTCTTTTTTTTTGGGGGGGGGGGATTTTCACTATAGGGCACGTGTGCTCGCCAGACAGACAGAGAGAGACATAGAGACAGAAAGCAAGAACTCATCCCACAGGGGGCATGGTCACATCGCAATCCCTTCTGCTCCATTCCCCTCTTGGGATCTTGGGCACGCACACACATGCGCCCAGCATGAGTTTTAAGCCACCGGGTCCGGGACATGAACCGCAGTCGACTACGTGGGAGTCCAGTGACATAGCCATTACGCTAACTGCTGGTTTCCAGTAAGCCAGTCTTAAAGAGCACCCATGAAATTATACCTTACAACTGTTTCATCTACAGTGGCATTTTGTGCTATATTCTTTTGAGGAAAAAGTACCCTTTTTATTGACTTATTACAGTTGCTAATACAAGTTTTTGTCCATAAAGCCTAGTCAAAATATACTTAATTAAATTCTTTCTTAAAAATAATATTGATCATTCAAGTTGATGAAATTATTTCCCAGGAGAGTGCTTTATTTTAGGAAGGTGATGTTTTGCATTATCTACATTGAAAGGTTTCAAATATGAAATAAGACAATAAACAGAAAGAGATAAGAACAGGAAGAGAAAAACAAAAACAAACAAACAAAAAAACTCCAGAAAACTGTTAGAGAATCAAAAAAATGTTTTTGTATCTGAGATCATAAAATGATGCTTTTTTAGGGGCAAAATCAACAGGAACACATACAATGTTATTGTATAAATAAGTATATTTATAGCTTTATTTTCACGCCACAGTTTATACCCAGCACTTGATTACTCATATAGCTGTTACATAATGACTCAAATAATTAAATAAATTTTAAACACATTTTTGAATGGTACCACCATTAACCACAATTACTTCATTGCCTACTTGCAAAATACAGAGTACTCAGTCAAATCTACTTTCCTCCTCTTAACTCTGTGGCTCTTTTAGTGGCCTGCACCTGTTCATTGAGCCATTCTGGGTTATCTACCTCTGTCACTTATCCTTGCAATAAACTACAACATTCAGGAGTGTCTTTTAGCCACCTGGACATTTGATAAATTAAAATGAGCTATTATAAAAAGGAAGTAAACAAGAGACACACAGAAATCAAGGAGCAATGTCAAGTCCAGGACTCAGGACTCCTTTTATGACATGTTCAAGGATCTTCCTTCAATATGAGGTCAATAGCCAATACATTTTCTCCAACTATTTTGGAAGTAAACAGGTATTTTCCATTTTTATGGAAAATAAAATTAAGATTCTTCATTATTCCATTTGAAAGCACCCTGCTTTAAAAATTTTATTTATTTATTTTAGGCCTTTGCCATGAAGTATGTGCACTTAACCGAGAGAGAAGGAGAGAAGGAAAGTGGCAATCACCCCAGAGGGGATGGCCACTCTACAATCCCTTCTCCTGCATTCTCCTATCAGGATTTTGGACGTATAGGCACATGTGCCGGAGTGATTTTCACACTATCAGATCTGGGAACTGAATAACACAGTTGGCCATGTGGGTGTCCAGGGCCTAAATCACCACACCGCTAGCTAACCCTTTTGGTTTTAATGCAAGTTTATGGATGATTTATTAAAGTTTTTAAGTAGGAATTGTCCCTAAAATGGAGGAAACTAAAGATATTGTTTTCAAACCTAGCTAATGTACATAGAATATATAATGAAATTAAATTAAAACTATAACCAGAGTGACAGATGACATGAATGAGAAGGATGAACAAAAATATTTACTGCCAAGTGGAATATTACATTTTAGAATATTTGCATGTAGAGATATTTAAATAAAAGTAAATTTATGTTGTTTTAAAAATACGGTAAGATTAAAACAGATATATGTAAGTTGAATCTTCATTCATCAATATTTTATGTAATTATTTACAAATGCCAAAAGTGTGAAGAATTTGGAACAAAAACATGTCTGTATTACACACTACGAGAAACAATTAACATACAGAAAGATAAAAAATTATTTAGTATTTAACATGTCACAAATTAGTGTGCATTACTTATGGTTAAATAATGATTTAACCTAGGTTGAAATATGTACTGGTTTAAATAAACCTTCAGTGCATGTAGGATTCCACAGGGCCTTGAAAAGAAGAAAACAAAAAAGAAATAAATGAATGACATCAAATTAATAAAATGAAATGAAAATTTACTCAATATGAAGATTTAAAATGTTTAAACACTTAAAAGAAAACCACAGATCAACACAAAACTATCCTACTTATGAGTTTCTAAGTCAAAAACTGCTATTAACATTTACTAAGAATATTTATACTAGCAATGCTTACAGCTCCTGGCTTTCAGTTAAATATGCTTTATTCCAAAAGAGGGAAGATTAATTTTATATTTTATTTCTTGGCTTAGCAAATAGAGATACAAAATAATATTTCTACTCAATTTTTTATGAATTCTTCAAGTGAAAAACTGCAAGAAAATTAAGAATTAAGTAAGAAGTAAGTCTATGTGGCTTTCCCGTCATTTTTAGACCAGTCACTATCCAAAATCCTAAACACAAAACTACCAATAGATTTTGTGAATCTCAGCAATTTATAAAACTCAATCGTTACTGCAATTTTGAAAATTTTCCAACCAGTGGCATGGTTTTTAAGGTGGTTGGATCTCATATGACCAATGATGTGGTTGGAGTCTTAGACCCTCAGATCCCTTGAAAATCATGCCAGGCACATGTATGTGTGTGCCCAAAAGCCTGAGAGGTGAACAGAGGAGAAGGTATTGCAGAGTGGCACATCCCCTCTGGAGGGTGATCTCTGACTCCATCCTAACTTTCCCATCACTCTCTTGGTAATATGATTCTCCCTGTCAAGATACCTGTTCTGAGGATCAGCAGATGGCATGGAGGTTAAGGAGCTGGACTCTCAAATAGTTGACTAGGGTTTGAGTTCCAGACCCGGCAGCTTGAAATTCATGTCTGAGGCATGGGCATGTGTGCCCAAAACTCTGAGCGAAGAATGGAGGAGATTGTGGCATGGCTCTACCCCCTGGGGAGTCATTCTCATTTTTTGTCTCTCTGTCTCTTTAGCGAACACATGTGCCCTATAGCAAAACTCTCTAAATAATATAATAATAATACTTGTAATGGCTCTTTGGTCAGTTGACGTATACTTGGGTTCTGACTCCAATTAATTTCTTCAGCAAAGTCTACTCTGACAGCTTTGTTCCAGGCTCAGGGCAAGCCCCTTCTCTTCTGTAAGTCTCATCTTATTTTCTTCATGGCCCTCATCACTGTGAAATTCTCTTGGTTATAGCTTTGATTTTTAATTGATAACCTGTCTCCATTCACTAGAGGCATGAGGTTTAGGAAAACAGGACACCTTTCTCCTGGTTCACTGCTACAGCCTCACTGCCTGGAAAACCTCTGACTCTTTTTATAGGACCGCATAAATAATTGAATAAGGGTGAACTACCTCGTGATGAAAGAAGCCCCGGGAATATACCTCAGGTCACATCCAGAGGCAGGTAAGGGTTTGGCAGCCAAATATGCTTTTATAAAACATACAAGGCTACAAAATCATTAAGACTAACAATAAACATTAAGAAGATGCTTCGTATTCAGCACCTGTTTCAAAAATGCAAATTGAATGAGTATGAAAAGATAGAGGGAACATATTGTTATACTTGACGTATCTTAGCAATATGAACTTTTCTTTTCCATTGTATTTTAAGGCTTCTAACTTTCATTTCTGTAATAAAACTCTAACCCAGATCCACTTATTAATATTCTTTTTAAAAGTTAGTAAGGTAGGCTGATAAATTTCAGAGATACAAATGTCACTAAAACATAAGATACTAACATTTCTTTTTCCATAAAAGTTTATAATATTCTGGTATTTGTCAAATAAAAAGGATAAAATACCTCAATACTTCTGTGTCATTTTAGTTAGTAGAACATAGTTTCATAAAAAAAAATAAATAAAACTCAAATAATGAGAATAAATGGCTCCCTGTGACTACACTATAGTGACAACAATAATTCGAATGTCAGGTTGCTTTATGATTAACCACTCAGGAGATATTATAAATTAGAAAACTTAGTCACAAAGTAGATTAATCTTCTTGAACTTTAAAGTATAATGCATTCAATACATTATAAAACTAGGGGGAAAAACACACACAAAATTGTTTTTTACGTTTACTCTTTTTTAAATTTTTCTATTTATTATTGTTATTTTGCACTTGTAAAGGAGCACTTGCACTCATCAGAGAGAGAAACAGAGAGAGAAAGAAAGAGGGAAAGTGAAAAAGCAAGCCATCGTGTCCGGGACTCAAATCGCAGCTGGCCATGTTACAGTCCAGCGCCCTAGCCACCACACCACTTGCTGACCCCAACATGTACTTTTAATAAAACATTTTAGAAGAAATATGTCAAAAACTTTTGTTTTCTCAAAAATTTCCAAGTTCTTTTGTGTAGAAGTAGGTCTTGAATATAAATTAAATACATCGTATGATTTTGTAGTCATTATAGCAAAGAGAAATTTTCTTTTTAAAATATTTTGACATTGAAATTACATTTTATTATTATAAAAGTGCATGTGTTCTTTGCAAAATGTGACAAAAAGAGATAAGCAGAAATACAGAAATAAAATTTCACATTCCTACCAAGCAGAGATAATTACTACACCAACCTTTCTCTTTCTGTTTCTATTTTCACGTTTTGCTTTTTTTTTTTTACTAAGATGAGGCCATTGAATATGGTCTGTTCCTTTATATTACCTGTTGCCCAACCTTTCTGTTTTCATTTTCACGTTTTGCTTTTTTTTTTTTACTAAGATGAGGCCATTGAATATGGTCTGTTCCTTTATATTACCTGTTGCTGTTTATTTATTTATTTATTTATTATTTATTTATTTATTTATTGCAGTAATGACTTCTAACTCTCCATGTCAATATGTTTTCTTCTTATCTAATAGGAATCCTTATTCAAATTTCCTCAGATTCCCTCAAACGCATCTCACTTCTGGTTGCCCAACCAAAGATTTAGTCCTGGTCTGCACATCAAATCTGAATGTAATGTCATTTAGATTTTTTTCCTTATAATATGTTATTTAAATTTGAAGCCTTTTTCCATTAGTAGGGGAACATGTCTAACCATACAGAAAAACTAGGAAGACTGCTGGCAAGAACACCTGCATAGCCCTCACCTAGATTCAGTAATTAAGGGTTGAGCGACCACAGTTGCTCTTGTGCTTCTCTTTCATTACCTCACAAGCAAATTTATTTTTATTACATTTGTTGTTATGTCTCTTTAGCTTCTTTTCTCTGTGTTGAAAGGTTACTCATTCCTAATTAAGTAAGAAGTAAGTCTATGTGGCTTTCCCGTCATTTTTAGACCAGTCACTATCCAAAATCCTAAACACAAAACTACCAATAGATTTTGTGAATCTCAGCAATTTATAAAACTCAATCGTTACTGCAATTTTGAAAATTTTCCAACCAGTGGCATGGTTTTTAAGGTGGTTGGATCTCATATGACCAATGATGTGGTTGGAGTCTTAGACCCTCAGATCCCTTGAAAATCATGCCAGGCACATGTATGTGTGTGCCCAAAAGCCTGAGAGGTGAACAGAGGAGAAGGTATTGCAGAGTGGCACATCCCCTCTGGAGGGTGATCTCTGACTCCATCCTAACTTTCCCATCACTCTCTTGGTAATATGATTCTCCCTGTCAAGATACCTGTTCTGAGGATCAGCAGATGGCATGGAGGTTAAGGAGCTGGACTCTCAAATAGTTGACTAGGGTTTGAGTTCCAGACCCGGCAGCTTGAAATTCATGTCTGAGGCATGGGCATGTGTGCCCAAAACTCTGAGCGAAGAATGGAGGAGATTGTGGCATGGCTCTACCCCCTGGGGAGTCATTCTCATTTTTTGTCTCTCTGTCTCTTTAGCGAACACATGTGCCCTATAGCAAAACTCTCTAAATAATATAATAATAATACTTGTAATGGCTCTTTGGTCAGTTGACGTATACTTGGGTTCTGACTCCAATTAATTTCTTCAGCAAAGTCTACTCTGACAGCTTTGTTCCAGGCTCAGGGCAAGCCCCTTCTCTTCTGTAAGTCTCATCTTATTTTCTTCATGGCCCTCATCACTGTGAAATTCTCTTGGTTATAGCTTTGATTTTTAATTGATAACCTGTCTCCATTCACTAGAGGCATGAGGTTTAGGAAAACAGGACACCTTTCTCCTGGTTCACTGCTACAGCCTCACTGCCTGGAAAACCTCTGACTCTTTTTATAGGACCGCATAAATAATTGAATAAGGGTGAACTACCTCGTGATGAAAGAAGCCCCGGGAATATACCTCAGGTCACATCCAGAGGCAGGTAAGGGTTTGGCAGCCAAATATGCTTTTATAAAACATACAAGGCTACAAAATCATTAAGACTAACAATAAACATTAAGAAGATGCTTCGTATTCAGCACCTGTTTCAAAAATGCAAATTGAATGAGTATGAAAAGATAGAGGGAACATATTGTTATACTTGACGTATCTTAGCAATATGAACTTTTCTTTTCCATTGTATTTTAAGGCTTCTAACTTTCATTTCTGTAATAAAACTCTAACCCAGATCCACTTATTAATATTCTTTTTAAAAGTTAGTAAGGTAGGCTGATAAATTTCAGAGATACAAATGTCACTAAAACATAAGATACTAACATTTCTTTTTCCATAAAAGTTTATAATATTCTGGTATTTGTCAAATAAAAAGGATAAAATACCTCAATACTTCTGTGTCATTTTAGTTAGTAGAACATAGTTTCATAAAAAAAAATAAATAAAACTCAAATAATGAGAATAAATGGCTCCCTGTGACTACACTATAGTGACAACAATAATTCGAATGTCAGGTTGCTTTATGATTAACCACTCAGGAGATATTATAAATTAGAAAACTTAGTCACAAAGTAGATTAATCTTCTTGAACTTTAAAGTATAATGCATTCAATACATTATAAAACTAGGGGGAAAAACACACACAAAATTGTTTTTTACGTTTACTCTTTTTTAAATTTTTCTATTTATTATTGTTATTTTGCACTTGTAAAGGAGCACTTGCACTCATCAG